GAGTAAAAACGCTTACAGTCATCCACGGTCGACCGCGCCGGTCGACCGCCACACACTCCGATTCCCAGTCGGTTTGGTGCACGTTTGCGGTCGACCGCGCCGGTCGACCGCCAAACTCTCTGCTGAATTTTCTGATTTTCTGTAATTCTTCAATTCTTCACCTCGGCGAATGTTTCCACCAAAACTGAGCCGACACCAAACCATCCAATAGTTCCTCAACAGGTCCAGGAACAATACTCGAGCTGAAACACGATCTCCCCCCATCTTGATCAACTGATCAAACCGGCTGCATCTAAAGACTGCCTACGTATCCTCTTGCCCAAGGAATCAAGCCGAACGTAGTTCACCCAAATGGCCGCCAACGGCCTCAGCACTGAAGGATGTTCAACAACTTCAAACAATGACCAAATTTCACTCCTGAAACAACTTTGGTCAACATATCTGCAGGGTTGTCATTTGTGTGGACCTTCTCCAATATGACATCTCCATCATTCAAGACGTCCCGTACAAAGTGGAATCTGACATCGATGTGCTTTGTGCGCGCATGATAAACCTGGTTCTTTGCCAAATAGATAGCCGACATACTATCACAATATATCCGAATAGTCTCCTGTGCAATCCCCAAGTCCTCCAATAATCCACGCAACCATAAAGCCTCCTTAATAGCTTCAGTAACTGCCATATACTCTGCCTCTGTAGTAGAGAGAGCCACTGTGGACTGAAGCGTGCAACGCCAACATACAGGTGCACCTGCCAATGTAAAAGCATAACCTGACGTAGACCGGCGTTTGTCAAGATCTCCAGCATAGTCTGAATCCACATATCCAATACAAGCCTGCCCATCCTTCTCATCCTTCTGAAATACTAAACCAACATCCACGGTGCCTCGAACATACCGTAGAATCCACTTCACGGCCTCCCAGTGACCCTTCCCGGGGTCATGCATGTATCTCGATACCATGCTCACGGCCTGTGACAAATCTGGCCTCGTACACACCATCGCATACATCAAGCTACCTACTGCACTGGCATATGGGACCTTCGACATATAATCTCTGTCCTCAACTGAAACAGGTGACATCAACGCTGAAAGCTTGAAGTGGGGAGCCAATGGTGTGCTAACTGCTTTTGCATTGCCATCAAAGCTGAATTTCTTCAACATCTTCTGCAAGTAGCTCTTCTGTGTAAGCTTCAATTTCCCCTTCACCCTGTCTCGCTCGATCTCCATACCCAATATCTTCTTTGCCTCTCCAAGATCCTTCATCTCAAACTCGGATGATAACTCCTCTTTCAGCTTTCGAATAGCTGAAGAATTCCTGGAAGCAATAAGCATATCATCAACATATAAAAGCAAATATATGAGCTCACCATCCTGTAGCTTGTGCATATAAACACATGGGTCATATGGGCTCCTCGTGTACCCTCGGCCAATCATAAAGCCGTCGAATCTCTTATACCACTGTCTTGGTGACTGCTTCAAACCATAAAGAGACTTCTTCAGCTTACAAACCAAATTTTCCTTTCCTGCAGCTTTGAAACCATGTGGTTGTGTCATGTAGATCTCCTCATCTAAATCACCGTGTAGAAAGGCTGTCTTCACATCCATCTGGACCAAATCCAAATCCAACTGTGCCACCAACGCCAATAAAATCCGAATCGACGAATGTTTCACAACGGGTGAAAATACCTCGTTGTAATCAATGCCCTCAAGCTGTGCATATCCATTGGCAACTAATCTGGCTTTGAACCGAATGTCCCTAATAGAAGATCCCTCCTTCTTCGCATATACCCACTTGCAACCAATAGCTTTCTTACCCTTAGGTAGATG